CAAACTCACTCTGTTCTTCTGGCTTCACAGTTCTCGCACCATGCTTGCATGGCTTCAGAAGCAGATGTCAGACCATCCAGGCTCGTGTTTCCATCTTGAAGGGTGCTAGTAGCTGTGCAAGCAAATCACAGGGGCAAGATGTCGTGCCTCCCTGCTGCGTCATGCCAAGGCTGAACCTTAATTACTTGGGGAGGAGGAGTAACAAACTTTCCTGCAACCCCCAAGATGATGTTCAGACTACAGGGAGCTGGAAGTGAGCACTGGGGCTCCTCTTCTTGGTATGAGCAGCGAATTGCAAAGATAAGGGAGCTCTCTTTGGAAAGGCTTAAACTTTGCAGTCACAGAAGGTTGAAAATTAATGGTCATCTTCCACTGCAAAGCAGTAAGGATTTTATAGGGGCTGGGATGTATCCCTCTGAACAACATGGACTGCATGGGGCCAGAAACCTCCCTCTCCAAGTGCCCAGCTCAGCCCTGCGGTGCAGGCGTCTGCCACAGCAGGGAAGATGCCAGTGCTGTGTGCTCAGCCAGCCCTTCCCCAGGCCACGTTCGCTGCTGGGAACAGCACGGAGCATCCTTTCAGGACTGCTGTTTTTTTGCTGAGACTCTTTATATTTGGTTTCGGTTCTTATTGTACAGCCGTGGGAGCCCATGGCTCTGGGGACCTGGCAGCCCAGTAGACTGAATGGGACATAGCTGTTTCCCATCTCACATTTGTAAAGAGGGAGGTTGTGCCCCATGGGGTCATCTCAGAAATCTTGATGCCTGTGGTCCATTGCGCCTGGTGTCACAGGGGCTGTAAGCTGGATTTGAGTGGAGACAGCCCAGGGAGGGGGTTTGAAGAGAGGACTCGTCCCTGGACGATGGGTGACCTTCCTCCCTGGCCAGAAACTAAGAAGAGAAAGGAGCTGCAGGGTCCTTGACTGCGGCGTGGGGAAGTGTTGAAATCCCCCCTTTGCTCCCTCTGCCAGGCATGCGTGTGCCCAGCTCCATCGTCTCCGACATCTTTGTTGGCCACATGGACAGTGGGATTGAGTGCACCCTCAGCAAGTTTGCTGATGACACCAAGCTGAGTGGTGCGGTCGACATGCTAGAGGTAAGGGATGCCATCCAGAGGGACCTTGACAAGCTTGAGAGGTGGGCTTGTGAGAACCTCATGAAGTTCAACAAGGCCAAGTGCAAGGTCCTGCACATGGGTTGGGGCAATCTCAAGCACAAATGCACACTGGGCAGAGAACAGCCCTGGGGAGAAGGACTTGGGAGTGCTGGGTGACCAGAAGCTCAACATGACCTGGCCATGTGCTCTCACAGGCTGGAAAGTCAACCATATCCTGGGCTGCATCAAGAGAAGAGTGGCCAGCAGGTCGAGGGAGGGGATTCTGCCCCTCTACTCCGCTCTGGTGAGACCCCACCTGGAGTCCTGTGTCCAGCTCTGGAGCCCTCAGCACAGGAAAGAAATTGACCTGTTGGAGTGGGTCCAGAGGAGGCCACAGCAATGATCAGAGGGCTGGAACACCTTTCCCATGAGGAAAGGCTGAGAGAGTTGGGGTTGTTCATCCTGGAGAAGAGAAGGCTCCAGGGAGACCTTATAGCAGCCTTCCAGTACATGAAGGGCCCTGCAAGAGAGCTGGAGAGGGACTTTTTACGAGGGCACGTAGTGATAGAACAAGGGGTGATGGCTTTGAAAGAGGGTAGATTTAGATTAGATATATAGAAGAAATTCTTTACTGTGAGGGTGGAGAGGCCCTGGCACAGGTTGCCCAGAGAAGCTGTGGATGCCCCCTCCC